GGCTCCGTGGGCGGCCGGGGAGGGCAGGACCCGCCGCGCTGCCTTTGGGGAAGGGAGCCGCCTCGGTCTCCCTCCTTCAGGCCCCTCGTGACCAGGCTTAGCGTGGGAGAGGCAAAAAAGCAAGAAGGATCACTGAAGAACTGGTTCGTTTGGGGGTTGGAAAGAGAGAGATGGGTTCCGCCTCCCCGGGTGACTGAGGGCTCTTCGAGGTGTCTGAGCACTTCATCATCTGTGTCCTTCCACCACCTTCCGCCCCCACGGTGCCCAGCGTCGTGCCCGGCATCCGAAGGGGCACTGCGTCAATTTTGAATTCCCGGTAAACGAAGAAAATCTCCGCTCCTAAGTTCCTTTCACAGACACACATAACACACACATAAACACACACACGCATACACGCGTGCCCATCGCTCAAGCTAGAAGTCACTTAATGCACCTTCCGTGAGCACCGCTTTTGAGTACGGAGCGGTATTGTCCCCTTGCGGGTTGTGCTTTGCTGGGGGAGTGGGTGGACACTGAGACAAGCAGAACCCAGGTCTTGCCCTCAAGGAGCTCAGCCTGCGGGACGCTGGACCATCGCAACGCAGGTGCTCGTGTGGGAGCCAGGCGGAGCGCGCTGGCAGAGCACTCGGAGGGGGCCCTTGATCATCATAGTGATGACCCAGCTGGGTCTCGGAGATGGAGTAGAGATTCGTCAGAGGCGAAAAGAGGAGTAGACTGTGTCAGCAGGGGAAGTGCTTCTAGCATGTTCTCTGGGCCCAAGAAAACAGCAGTTCGGTGCTAGCGAGAGCTACAGTGGAGCTTAAGGAGCTGTATGCAAGGGGTTGGGATTGAGGATCAGCTAGAAAATTACCTGGACGTTTGGCTTTAAAGTGAGACTGAGGCCAGGGCAGCCTTCCCATCCATTGAAGCAGGTAGAAGCTATTTCTGGAAATAGTTCTGTACCACCTGTGGTTATTTTAAAGGAAAACTACAGGTAGGATATCTCAGGAGACTCAAGGAAGAGTTGAAAACCCTCCCAGCCTCAGGAAGGGCAGGGATGTGGGGGGGGCGCGGTTTAAGGACTGACCACTGCGGGGAAGTCTGGGGACCTTCTCTCCAGATTATTGCAATTAATCAGAATCAAAGCTGCCAAACTTAATGTCCCGTGGTTCAAAGTTCTAGATTCCTAGAAGAAAGAATCTTATCGGTCCAGCTGGGGCCGTGGTAACCGCTGTGGCCAGGGGACGGGGTGCCACGTAATACAGACATGTCAGCACACCCCTCCATTATTGAGAGAAGTCCTCAGAGAAGGGGAAATCATGACCCCAACAGCCACTCTAAAGATTATCTACTACGTTCCACCCCTGAGCTGCTCCTTGCACACAAATTCACGCATGTAAACACACACACGTGCACGCACACACACACACACACACACCCTTCTTTCCATTCATCCAAAGTGTCCTCACCAAACAAGTTCCAATAGTCCATGATCAGCCACCTCCAGACTCAATGTCATGATCAAGATCTAAGTCCGAGATCTTAGAGGCGATGTTCATGTCTCCTCAAGTTCAACGTTGATCCCACCTTTACCAACTGGACTAAGCGGTAAATTTAGCCATCAACAACATGTCCTTTGAACTCTTGCTACTCAAAGTGTGACCTCGGCTTGTTAGAAATGCAGAATCTCAGGCCCAAGAATCTCGGCAGATTAACAAACTCACCAGGTGATTTGAATGCACAGTAATGTTTAAGAAGCACTGCTAATATTGGGGGCAAGGAAAGAGATGAGAAATGTTTTTTGGGTTTTTTTTTTATTGTGATTATTCCTATTTAAAAGGAAAGAAGGGGAGGAGTTCATGATTTCATCTTGAGCAACTCCAGTAGCCAGCAAGGAAACACAGGTAGAGGCTACGGTCTTTATTTCTGCAACTTGTTCACAAACTCCGAAAACATGTTTATGACGTCCTCTAACTCTTTATTCCATGTTCCACTCACCTCCTCCTGCGACTCATTTGGTCAGGATTCTTTGCTTAGTGCACTGACGTGAGTCTCCATCCCCGAGGGCCTGTAGCATTGGGCATCCCGGCTGCAAAGCGTCATAGCAGGTGTCCATCTATATTTACCACTAGGCACGATGATGTAGGAGGTACTCCATGGGGACCCTGGGTTCCACTCATACCCCTTGTGTGTGTGTGTGTGTGTGTGTGTGTGTGCAGGAACCTTGGGTTCCACCCATATCCCTCGCGTGTGTGTGTGTGTCTGTGTGTGATGAAGACCCCCAAATGGCCAGGTAGCAATCTGTGCCTCCTGGTTGAAATATTCCTCTGTTTAGTTCTAAAACCATCAGACAATCAAAACTTAGAGTTGCCTGAACAGGAAGCAGACAGCAGACACTCTGATGATGGTGAGAGTCACCATCGTCACCTCCTCCCCTAGTCCTGAGACCCTTGGAAGAAACATACCATCACGGGTTTCCAGTTCAGAGCACGTGTTCTCTGGGGGCCCGACCTGGTCCGGCTAACAGGCTGCACCCTCTCTGCTCCACTGCCCTGCTGCCCTTCCTTTGAGTGCCTTCAGGCCCAGTGCTGATGGGGTTTGGCCAGGTGTTTTCGAAGACAGCCGCCAGCATTGTGAGCAGACTGGAGCTTGGAGGAGGAGGACGGGAGTGAGGGCAGCAGAACAGGCGGCAAGCATAGACTGGTTCTGGTCCAGCCGCCAGGCTGTGTTCCCTCAGCGCAGTGCCAAATTCCCACTCTGGCCTCAGTTTCCCCCTGGGTCCCAGTGGGGATAATAACATGGCTCCTCCTCCCAGGGGGGCTGTTCAGATTAACTAATTAATGAGTGTGACATCGTCTGCTTCCACAAAGGGGCTGATTAAATGCTGAGTGCTGTTATTAGAGCGATGGAGGGTGTGTGACAGGCAGAGTTGACTAGAGACAGATCTGCTCCCCTCGCCTCCTCCCCATCCCCTTCCTCCGTCTGCCCCACGCTCTGCAAGCTGAACATCTTGCAAGACAAAACCAAGACGATTTTTGGCACTCCCAAAACAGTGTATAACTTTTGCGCATTTCCCCTGTACTGGAATGTGAGTCACGGCTGAGCGGCATAGCGTAATGTGTCTTCGACAGCTGGCACAGCTGTGCCCTGCCCCAGACTCTAGGCTCCCAGCAGCTGCACAGTGGAGTGGCTTGGCTGGTGATTTCATCAGGGTAGAGCTGCCTACAGACGACAACTGCAGAATCCCTGAGCTGGACACCAGCCCCCTGACTGCATTGCCCCGTGGTCCTGGGGACTGAGTGACCGCCGTCCCTCACAGCCTGAGGGAGGGAGAGCCATCACGGCACACTGGCTTCGGGCTGGAGGGAATTCAAAGCATGCAGGGTTTTAAAGTATAAAGTGTCTATTCATAGCCCTAGGCGATCCAATGACTATATTTTAGCTTGGATGCAGGGTATAGGATAACTGGATGAAATCACAGCTCTGGGGCATGGCGACTCTGGCCTAGCTATAGTCCAGAGAGGCCCCTGCATGAAATAGTGAATGTGACTTTCCCAGCAGCCAGTGTGAGATCATTGCCCATAACCAGATTCTGGGTCCCCCATCTCTGACGGTTGTAGGGTGCTGGCTCCCACCCCAAGTCTCGGTATTTGTGATGGGGTGACTGAGAAGGAATCACCCGGTCCGCCACCAGGTAAATAAGTCTACATCTGACATCCAAGGGGAACGTTGTTTACCCAAGCAGCACAAACTCAGCCTGACTGGGGAGATGAGAGAGAAGCTCTGGAGGCTGAGCTGTCAGACTCCCACGGGGAGAGAAATTAGCCAGTTTCTGAGGTCTAGGAAATGCATGTGAATGGGATCTGGGGCACCTGGAGCCAGCTCTGGATCCTCCGAGGCATCTCCTGGCAGGATTTCAGCCCTTCTCAGGCCTTCTTGTTCCTCCTGCTGTGAGACGCAGGGATGGGTCACAGGCACAAACAGCCTGCAGTGGAGTCTGGACCACGGGGCCGTGTTGGCAGCTCAGGGATTAGAGATCAGCCACCATGGGGCTGTGCTGAGGTCCCAGGCAAGAGGCGGGCTGTTCCCTCCCACCAGAGGGGAACCTACAGGCTCATTCATACCTTTTACTTGAATAAGCACAGTTCACAGTCTCAACAAATCTGTGTGACGCGGCCATAGTGGCTGAGACGCCGGAGGAGGTGCCCGTGATGGGGGGAGAGGGGAAGAGGACTTTCCCCAAGGCGAAGCTCTGGGAGGTTTCTCCATTCTCTGCTCATCTTCCATCCACTTGGGCGTCACCAGCACCTTCACTGTCATGCCCAGAGGATTGTGGGAATCTTCGCGTCGCGTTAAACCAGCCCATTTGGGAGCGTCTGCTCCCTGATGGGCATTGTAGTAACTAGTTTTTCTCCTCGGGGCACCGGGGAGCTGCAGAAGTGTAAATACAGTTGTCTCAGGGGAAAGCTTGCGTGGTTACTGACTAGTGCGATTCATCTGGACTTTCTGGACACCAATAACATGAGTAGAGAGTCTGTCTTTTTGACGGTGTTCATCCATCCACCCATCCCCCAGCCACTCATTCTCCCACCTGCCTCTTCACCCACCCATTCATTCACCCCTCCCCTGCCTCAGTTCATCCACTCACCCATCCTTCTACCCAGTGAGGAGAGAAACACACACTCTGAAGATCACCAGGGCCTGGGGGTGCCCTCGGCCTCAGTCTCAGCTCACCAGCATCCCCAGGGCAAGAAGGCTTGAAGATCCTTCATGCTGATCAAACGCAGGAGCGAAATGCTGATCGCTTGGAGAGAGAGGCCCAATCCTCCTTCACAGACGGCTCGATGCCTTTCCAGGGACCTGTGAGTCATGCTCACTGCCCTGGAAACAGTCAGCCCGGCCCCTGAGGTGGGAGGGATGTTCTAATGTCTTGTGAGGAGACCGAGGCTCGGGGAGGGGCAGTGAGTTGCCCACATTAGAATCAGAGCTGGGACCTAGAACAGGGGCTATCGACTCTCAGCTCAGTGGTAGGTTGGGGTCGGGTTGCCCGATTTAGCAAACAAACCAAAAAACCAGGCTGCCCAGTGACATTTAAAATTCAAATGTAACTGGGCGTCCTATATTTTATCGGGCAGTCCTAGGTGCGGGTGATTAATCCTTGATTAATCCTCGCTTCACTACCAAGCAGAGCTTTCTGAGGACCCAAATTCCCGTGCTGTCCAGAACACAGCCTGTTTGTCCCTTAGGCAGAGCTGGCCACCCTCTGACCTACTTGGCCTCCATGAATCACCCTCCTCGCCTCTGAGCAGACCCAGCGTTCTGACAGGTCACTGGTTCTCAACTTACTCTGCCCAGGCTGCACCCCAAGCCAATTACGGCCGAATCTCTGGGCCTTAGAGTTGTTAACGTTCCCTGGACGATTCCAGCATGCAGCCGAAGTTGAGATCCACAGTGCTGGCCGGACCCACGTCTCCACTGCTCACGTCGAATTAGTTCTGCCTTCGCTTCCTGAAAGAGTCTTGGGAACCTCAGCTGCTCCGCTTTTGCAAACCACCCTGTTGCAGGCCCTCAGCCCTAGGCTCTCCTTAGCGCTTTCTGGTTGATTGAGGAGTTTTGGATTCAGAGAATGACAGTTTCTGTTTATCCCAGGCCCATCAGGGACACAGGGGTGGGAGCCCCCTGCTGGCATCCCTGTGTCCCCGACGTACTGACTGGAGCACTTGGGGGAGCCCCTCGGGGTTCCATGGTCAAGGCCAGGCAGAAAGCAGGTTGTTCTTTGAGCTGATTCTTTGTTCTTTGAGCCCAGTCCTCCAGGAGGAGTTGGATCTCTGTAGCCTCCTATCCCTCTCCCCGACAACACACAGTGTGTCTGTGACTGCTCTTCAGTGTCTGTCCTCCCCCTAGACTCAATGCGAGGATGGCGAGAGACAGGCCTGTCTTCTGTGTCCGCACAGCTTGGCTGGTGGATGGAGCAGGGGCTCAATTAATATCTGTGTAATCTGTGGGCGAACCTTTAGCAATCATGAACTTCAACCCCACCTTTGTACAGGGAAGACAACAGAGGCACAGAGAGGGGAAGGGACCTGCCCCAGGTTGCACAGTGGAGGCTGAGTTAGGACTCCAATTCAAGGCTGCAGTTCCCATTCTGTGTCACTAGGCCCCCAGCCCTACTCCCTCCTGCCCCACCCCTCTCAGCCCCGTTCTGAGCCATCAGCTTCTCCTGCATGCAGGATGACTACCCCGGACCCTCCATGCATACACACACACTCTCTCTCTTCCCAAGGCTTCTCCTTCTGGGAAGGGTCGGGGTGACCCTGGCAGTGGGTGGGGAGACAGGCAAAGGTGGGAGGAGAACTATATTCCATGGCAGACCAGCCAGAAGCTTCCTCTGTCAAACAGACTTCTAGGTGACAAACCCCTGCAGGATATGGAAGGAGCTGGAACTTCCATTTCGATAGGTCTTGCTGAGTGGACTTTGCCCTCTCTCTCAGCCTCCTCTTATGTCTGAGATAGAACTGCACGGCCACCGAGCTCCCAGAGCCTGCTTTTCCCCAGGCTAGTCACGAAGCTGGAAGGTCCACAGCAGGATTTGGACCCTCTTTCTCTGGCTGTGAGGCCCTCTTCGAGGCTCCAGTTCCCTGGTCAGGGAAATGGGTCCAATAATATTGCCCTGCTGGGGTGTTGGCAAGGGTTCCAGGCGTGATGCTTGGCCAGCGGGCTTTCCCTGAGCCTTTGTCCTGGGGTTTTGGTGATATTCTAAGCTGAACGTGAGCGTAGTTATCAGGCACTCAGGACTGATCCCTGATTGGACAAACCAATGTCATCCGTCCCTTCCTGAGGTGTGAGTCAGAAGGTGGCCTTTTCGGTAAATGGATGAATGACAATGGCTTCCTAAAGGACTCCAAAGGGACCGAGCGCCTTTCAGAGACTTTCCAGCCTCTTGAGGCCATGTCAGGAGGCAGCAGCAAGCACTGGCACCACGGGGCATGGGAGGCAGGTTTGCGGTGGGTGCCCCTGGGTGAGGAGACTCCAGAGGGAACAGAACCAGGCAGGCTGCAGTGGGCGGGGCCAAGCCAGGGTTGGCCTTGGAGCTCAGACACCCTTTTCTTAACGGTTTAGAAGAAAAAATTTTTTGTAGTAAAATAAACATAACATAAAATTAACCATTTTCAAGTGTGCAGTTCAGAGGCATTAAGTACTTTCACATCGTTGGACAACCACTTCCAGAACTTTTTCATCATCCCATCCTGAAACTATCCATGAAATAAGAACTCACCGCTCCACCCTTTCCCTAATCCCTCAAAACCACCACTTGACTTTCTGTCTCTCTGAATTTGACTAGTCTAGGTACCTCATATGAATGGGGAAGGGCTTGAGAACAGGCTTCCCTAAGAGGTACCACTTGGACGTGTGAATTATTTGGAGCTGAAGGCAATCGAGACCCTACGGGCTCACGAGAAGCTTTCACCTCTCCATTAAAGAATTTAAATGTGATGCCTTGCCCATAATAAGAGTTATTACCAGAAATAGCTTTTTATGAGTTATTACCAGAAATAGCTTTCTATCTATGGGACAGGGCAAACTACTAATTACTAAACATCTGCCTTTCTTATCATCCCGCAATGCCCTTCCTCCCCATCTTTGGCTCAGATGTCACGTATACCTCATTTTCCCTTTCTGTCCAGGAACCTCTCGTGTATGTGAGGGTCTCTGACTCTCTCCTGTATATGGGAGTTCCCATACGTGTGTATGTAATTCAATTTGGTTATTTTCTCTTGTTAATCTGTCTCATGTAGATTTAATTATTCGACCAGCTGGAAGAACCTAGAGGGGTAGAAGAAAAGTTTTTCCTTCCCCACGGTGGAAGCATACAATACTTGTCCTTTTGTGTCTAGCTCGTTTCACTTAGTATAATGTTCTCAAGTTTCATTCATGTTGTGGTCTGTGTCAGAATTTCCCTTCTTTTAAAGGCTGAATAATATTCCATTGTCTGTAGAACCACATTTCATCCATTAGTGGACATTTCGGTTGTTTCAGCCTTTGGTAATGATCATGATAATAATGATAAAGCTAAGAACATGCGTGTATAAATATCCAGTCAAATTCCTGCTTTCAATTCTTTTGGGTATATACCCATGTTAAAAGATAAACTGAGACGTATTAAAAGTTGTAAGGGTTTATTTAACCAAAAATCGATTTGATTAGGCGGCATCCAATCTAGCAGATAGAAAGGAGCTCTGAGGAACTGTGAAAGACTTTTAAAAGCAGAATGGCACTTTCTGGGAAGAAGGGAGTTATAGTAAGCAAAGAAGTGGGTTCGTTGTTGCAAAGTTACTTTCCCTTAGGGAATGGCAGGGGTCCATCAGGCAGATGACCTCCCTAGTGCTGATCAGGCTATTCCTGGTTGGTTCAAGAGTCCATTTCTGGAAGAGCTGAAAGTATAATTAAGTTAAATCTCAGTTTGATGATGCGGGGCTTAGCATAAGCAATTCCATTTTGGACCTGTTGTCTTGTTTGTAACACCCAGAAGTAGAATGACTGCAGCATACAATAATTTTATGTTTAATTTTTTGAGGAATCTCCATACTGTTTTCCACAGCGCCTGCACATTACATTCCCACCAGAAATGTACCAGGGCTCCAATTTCCCCACTTCCATGCCAGCACTTGTTATTTGTTGTTGTTTGTTTTTTATAATAGTCATCTTGAAAGATGTGAAGTGGTACCCCGCTGTGGTTTTGATTTGGATTTCCCTGGTGATTGGTGACGTTGAGCATCTTTTCATATGCTTATTGGCCATTTTTAAGTAGGTTTCAAATTTTTCTTTATTGAAGTAAAAGTTATATACTTTTTTATATTAACTTATAAGTCAACTGGGTAACCATCATCCAGATCAACTGGATGAACATTTATAACATTCCGCCACCCTAGAAAAGCTTGGGTGCCCCCTCCCCATGAGGGCTTCTGAAGGAAACCACCTTTCTGACTTGGATTGCCATGGATGATGTTACCTGTCCTAGACCTTCAAATAAACAAAGCCATGGATGTTTATTTTTGTGATTGGCTTCTTTTACTCATTGCTATATCTGTGAGATTCATCCAGCTCGTTGCAGGTACAAATAACTTATTCTTTTTCATTGTTGTGTAATATTCCAGAACATGAATATACCACAGTGTATTGGATTAATCATATGACATTGCTAATAGGCCAACTTTTTATCTACAGAAAAAGGGCATTTCATAAGGCTCCACCTAATATTTCTCCATTCTATAGTTGATGGATATTCGCTGTTGTGAAGATTTTGGTATATGTCTTGGTGAGCATATGCATGACTATATTCCGAGGGTTAGATTTGCTGGTTCATAGGGTATATGTATGTTGGGTTTGGCCAATTCTTCCAGTTTTGCAAAGTGGTTTTGCCATGTATGAGAGCTCATACATCTACATCCCTGCCGACATTTGGTATGGTCAGTCTTTGTAGTTTTAGCCAATTTTCCAACCTCCTTTTAAGGAATGTGGCCCCAAATTGTTCTCATCCCCATCCACTGCCTCAGTTGGTTATAGCTGATTGCCCTGGGCTGGCCCCAAGTCTGTAGCCATCTCTGTAAGGGCTGGACAGGAAGATGGTTAACCATCCAGTTTTAGCCAGTTTTCCAACCTCCTTTTAAGGAAGGTGGCCCCAACTTGTTCTCATCCTCATCCACTGCCTCAGTTGGTTATAGCCAATTGCCCAAGTCTGTAGCCACCTCTGTAAGGGCTGGACAGGAAGATGGTTAACCATCTGGTGGGGGCCGGTCTGAGCCCCAGCCCACGGAGTCATTCCATGGTGAGTGTGCAGAGTG